AGATATTAGTGCAATAAAAGCTAAATTTTTTTATTTGCGTTTTTTTGATAATAAAATGAAAATGTGCATGTTACACCAACACAAAATCAAAAAGATGAGGTTATGTTTGAAATGACTCGTCATGACACACACACAGGGGCACATTTGAGAATGTGCCAATCTCTCGATAGGGATCATACAAATGTCAAACGTAGTCAGCTTGTCAATTACAGCCGGGGCCTGGAATTTTATCGTTTAATATCGATTATAAACGTTTAATGTGCTCACGTCATTACCGATTCAAAAATGCTGGAAGTGGGATTTGGTGGATCCTCAGGATCGTTTCGTACTGCTCCCGATTCTGGAAGTGGATCCTCAGGATGGGCCAGGACATTGTGAAACCCAGTCTGGTCCATCCTGAAGATCCACCAAAACCCACTTCTAGAACAGTATGCATTCGTTAAAGCGAAAAAATTACTGCAAAAATCGGGCAAAATCGACCAAAATGTGATCATATCGGAATTTATTTGTTTAAATGATAAAAAATGTTAAAGTCGGTCATTATTGGTTATTTTTAAAGCCGTGGTTAGCCCCTAGCTTGCTGCTAAGCAATACTAATGCGCATAGCACTCGAAAAGAGTATTCAAAATTACCATGGGAAGCAGCATAATGAAGAGGTGTATTATTAAAATGATTCATGATATCCATGTTGGCACCTTTGTTGAGAAGAACCTCGGCGACATTCTTGTGACCTTAGAAATAATTTAGATCGATGAAAAAGATCAAACCGATTCTTTATTTTAGAAAATAACTATTCAAAATTACCATTCTCAGCAGCATAATGAAGAGGGGTATTATTAAAATGATTCATCATATCCATATTGGCACCTTTGTTGAGGAGAACCTCGGCGACATTCTTGTGACCTTAGAAATAATTTGGATCGATGAAAAAGATCAAACCAATTCTTTATTTTGTGAAAATAACTATTCAACATTACCGTTCTCAGCAGCATAATGAAGAGGTGTCTCATCAAAATGATTCATGATATCCATACTGGCGCCTTTGTTGAGGAGAACCTCGGCGACATTTTTGTGACCTAAAAAAAACCGGATGAAAGAGATCATATCAATCGTTTCTTTAATAAGAACAAGCATTCAACATTACCACCGAATGCAGCTAAATGAAGAGCTGTGGTATTCAAATCATCTCCAATATCAGCGTTAGCTCCATTCTTGAGAAGCACATCAGCGACACCTCCATGGCCTAAAATAATACGGATCAATGAAAGAGATCGGCGGGATATCTTATTTAGTCAACCTTACCCTTCATAGCTGCCAAATGAAGAGGTGTCTGATGCATACAATTTTTAATATTAGGATCGTTTGCTTTACGGAGGAGAACTTCAGTGACGCTCTTGTGACCTGAACAATAACACCGATCGATAACACATAAAAGGCAAACTGATTTCAGAGAACGCCACGTGAAAGTACTTACCGAAACAAGAACTCCTGCAAAATATTTTTAAAAAGTTTATTCATTTAAGGATTTAATTTCCTCCGGCGTTTTTTGGCCAAAGGTGGATTTTGAGCACTTTTTCAATATTTCCACACGGCTTTAACTCGGTTACCCGTTATGAATATTGTTGTTTGGTCTCAATCAAAGTTGTAGGTATTGAATCAGAAAAAAAAAATGCAGAACAAACTTACCCCAAAAAAGGCATCTAGGGCTCAAAATCGCAAAAATGCCCATTTTTTACCATTTTTCAACCATAACTCGCAGCGTATTCAATTTTTATGGCCACTATTTGCAGCGATTTTGTAGCCAACGTATAACTGAGCAACTTTGCTCAACATACTAACCCAGAAAAATCATGTTCTATCTACCTTTTTGGCTCAAAATCACTCTTTGGTACCAAAAATGTTCACAGATGATATATTTCAGTTTTGGCGGTATGGAATTTTGAAGCTGATGTTGTTAGCTGAAAAATAAGGCTAATGTCATATGTCTTTGACGTCTGGTTGAGTAGTTATGGCTCCTCAAGTGATATTTAGTGCAAAAATAGTGCAAAAAGTTGACATGTCATCACTTGGGGAGCCATAACTTTCCAACTGGGCATCATAGGTAAATTGTATTGGCCCTATTGTTTAGCTGTGAACATAAGCTTTAGTGTAGCATACATTAGAAACTGAAATGTGGCTGTTTTCATGACTTCATTTGGCCAAATGTCCACCAAACGCTCAAAAATTGATCCAAAACTCGAAATATCCCTACAAATGAGTGAAATTTTCCACTAAAATAGCTAGAAAACAAGTTCACATTATCCATGGAGACACTCTTACAAAAATTCAAGCGAAAAATATGAAGAGATATACAGATATTTGCATGTAATAGGCCAAAATTCACAACAAAATGACCATTTTTGGTACCAAAGAGTGATTTTGAGCTATAAAGGTAGATAGAACATGATTTTTCTGGGTTAGTATGTTGAGCAAAGTTGCTCAATTATACGTTGGCTACAAAATTGCTGCAAATAGGGGCCATAAAAATTGAATACGCTGCGAGTTATGGTTGAAAAATGGTAAAAAATGGGCATTTTTGCGATTTTGAGCCCTAGAGGCCTTTTTTGGGGTAAGTTTGTTCTGCATTTTTTTTCTGATGCAATACCTACAACTTTGATTAAGACCAAACAACAATATTCATAACGGGTAACCGAGTTATAGCCGTGTGGAAATATTGAAAAAGTGCTCAAAATCCACCTTTGGCCAAAAAACGCCGGAGGAAATTAAATCCTTAAATGAAAAATTTTTTAAAAATATTTGGCAGGAGTTCTTGTTTCGGTAAGTACTTTGACGTGGAGTTCTCAGAAATGAGTTTGCCTTTCATGACTTGAAAAATGTTGCACTGTGTAAGTATTCAAAGTTACCTTTCTTAGCAGCATAGTGCAGAGCTGTCTCACCCCAATCATTTCCAATATTAGGGTCGGCTCCTTCAGCGATGAGGTTTTGAGCTTTCTTCACTTTGCCTGATAGAATATGAAAAATATTCATAGATCAATGAAACGGATTGAACAAAACATTCTTTTTTATAAAAAAAATGTCCAAAATTACCAGCAAAAGCAGCTCTATGCAGAGCTGTCTCTCCATACATGTCTTTTTCGTTTACTAAAATAAGTATGAAAAGTTTAGCATAAATGAGGTTCCCATATCTTCGTTACAAGGTGCTTTGTATATGGAATTTAAGAGTTGAGCTGGATAAATAAATGAAACTTCAATCTTACCGTTCCTCCCGGGTGGTGCTCCGCTCACATCCCCGATTAAGAACTGTGGAAATAGAATCAAAGTGATACATTTGGAATGGGAACAACGGATGAGATTAATACATTATGTATTAATAACAGTTTTCAACTGTTTTTATTAGAATAAATGTTTCCGGTGGACATTTTTTGGAATAGAAGAATTTTTTCAATTTAAGAACTTGAAAAAAGGACATTTTTCATTTTTTAAATTATTTCAGAAAAAATTATCACAAATCGTCCAAGAAAAGTATCAAACATGAAAATTTTTAAAAAAAATCGACTGAAATTGTCGACTCACCTCGGATACCATCAAGCCAATGAGCAGCAGTGTGAAAGAACTTCGACTCAGCATTTTTCTAGCTTCGAACTATTAAAAGTTTACTATGAACGTATCAATTGGTAAGAACTGTTTGATGGACATGCGAATCGAACGCATCCTCTTATATACTTTT